TTAATAAATAGTAGTTTGAAAAAGGCAATGTGTTGGGGTGCCGGGGTGGCTCAGTCGGTTAGGCATCCGACTTTGGCTCAGGTCATGATCTCGCAGTTCGTGGGTTTGAGCCCCACATCAGGCTCTGTGCTGACAGCCAGCTCAGAGCCTGGAGCCTGTTTCAGAGTCTGTATCTCCCTCTCTCTCTGACCCTCCCCTGCTCACGCTGTCTCACTCTCTCTCCTAGAAATAAATAAAAATATTTAAAAAAAAAAAAAAAAAGGTACAACAGTTGGCAAGGTGCTTACCTTGTTAGTTAATTTACTCACTCATTTGTATCTTCACTGACTACCAGGCCCTATACTAGTAACTAAGAGATATAATGCTGAGCAAATCAGAACCAAGCTCGGCTCAAGAAGAGTTTCCATTCCACACTATTTGATGTTAAAGGATCAAAAAATTTCCCTAAGTGGGTAAAATTCTGAGAGAACTTGGTTAAAAGAAAAGGTTACCTCTCTGAACTGCAAGAACCAGGATGGCTGACAGAACGCTTCATCTAGAAATTAAAAAAAAAAAAAAAAGCATAATCAGTATGCGAAGTAGAATAATACAGTAACACAAATTTACGCAGTAGAAAAGATGAATGGCCAAGAAATTTATTTTTTACATACTCCAGCAACACTATTAGCACAATGTCAAGCTTTGCCCCTAATAACCATTAATTGGAATCTTTCTCAGCACCTATCAAAAACATGCTAGATTCTTTTCTCAATACCAAAAACCTAAATTTATATTATATATAATATATATAATACATATGAGTATATGTGAGTGAATGTATACAAAAATATTTTAAAAATATATAACTAATCCAAAAACACCATAATATTTAAAGCAATATCTAGCAAGCCAGAAAGTATTCTAAAAAATATCTCTCTGTCTCTTTCTTAAAGGCCAGGAAAAGAGTCTGGTAGCAAGCTTCTCTTTATAACTCATTCATTATTCAGGTTGCTGTTCAAGTGTGGTTTTCATGGAAGATAGCATTAATAATTCTAGTCTTTAAAGAACACAGAAGAAGAACCCTAAGTTTCAAATAAGTCTCTAAAATATGTATTTAAAAAATTTTAGGGGCGCCTGGGTGGCTTAGTCGGTTAAGCATCCGACTTTCGCTTAGGTCATGATCTCGCGGTTCGTGGGTTCAAGCCCCGCATCGGGCTCTGTGCTGACTGCCAGCTCAGAGCCTGGAGCCTGTTTCAGAGTCTGTATCTCCCTCTCTCTCTCTGACCCTCCCCCTCCTCACGCTGTCTCTCTCTCTCTCCTAGAAATAAATAAAAATATTAAAAAAAAATTAAAAAAAAATTTTTAAAAACCCTGATTAGGCAGAGCTTTAATAAATGTGACAAATACTAAATATAATTTAAAAGATCCAAGTACACCACCAAAAAAATAGAAGGAGACCCCAATTAAAACAGATTATTTCAATGTCTAGCAAGGTAGCAAAAAAGCACAGTTTATACTACAGGTTACTTTTATATGCAGGGGCTTAAGGGTCTTACAAATCCAAGTCTAAAATCTGTTATGTAAATGTCTGCTATATTTGTAAGAGAAGCCAACAACAGCTCTGAGAAATCCTAATTGAAATAACAGATATGACCAACCCAATGTGTAGTCCAGGAACATCTAACATGACTGACATTAAGATACTAATGGACACTAACATCTTCTTTAACAGAAGTCACTCCTTTCGGGATTACTACTCCAACAATATCCCCACTACAATTACCACTCAATCTGGGAGTCCAAATGAAGTCTGAAATTCCATTATGATCTGAAATAAAACTGATTGCAAATTTACTCTAGGAGGGACACAGTGAGATTGGCTACAGAAAGTAGTTTAAAAATCAGTTTAGTTTTAGAAGTCTCAAATCTTTCAGGTTTATTTTCCATTTACTCATATTATTAAAAAATATATTTTTTCCCACAAAGACTGACCGTTTTTTTCCATGCTATGTCTCCAGAACTAATTATAAGCCACAACTTCTGCTTTATGTATAAAGTAAAATGGCAAAGCAAGGAAAAATAAGCAGCCTCTAACCAGTATTTTTTAGATTTATTGGACTTTCTGTAACATTGCTACTGATAAAAGGTTTTGGTTTAAAAGAGACAGTAATCACTGCTTTTTATTCATAAAATACACATATGACCTCTCTGGACGATGGGGCATTTATAACAGAAGGCATTTCCCTCAGAAATTCAATACAAAAACAAGCAGCTTTGAGGTGGTTTTATTGCATTTGATTCTATAAGTCAAATACAGGAGTATTTGTAGCGAAGTCTGTATCTGATACCTTATATTTCAACTTCAGGAACACAGAACTATATACATCCACCTCAAAAGATCTTTTCTTGTTGTTCAACCATACAGGTTATCTCACAATTCATAACATATCTACAGTTGTATTATAAGAAAATATTGTCAAAATGTTCTACTTAACACCAGTCTTGTGAGATGTTATCCAAAAATACACAAGAAGAGTTCAGTTGTCAAATAAATTTCAGAAACAGTGCATACCACTTCTCCTTCTCAGAGATTCATAACACACATTATCATAAAAGAGGTTTTAAGAGGTCCTGTGACAGAGAGACCCAGTTCATTTAGCACTTCCCAAACTAACCTGCCCATAAAACTCATTTTCATAGTATACCGGTCTCAGAGGACATTAGCCCATCATATATTGATTAGAAATTGATGATCTAAAAAAATGTAGGTAATAATCTTTCTAAATCTCATATAACTAAATTGGGTGGATTGGTTAAGAGAACCTCGGAATAAATTGTACCCTATTCCTTCTAACAAATATGTCTTCAGGTAATTGCTAAAATAGTAGCCAAGTTGCATTCTTCCTTCTATAAAAGGGCTCCTGAAAACACTAGGATGAAATAAATCTAAAGTCTCATCAGACTCTGTCTCACCTATGAGTTCTCCACAGCTTGCCTGATCAAGTTTATTAACTTGGAAAGAACAATGAGTTCACCACCCCCAGCAAAGGGTACTTGTCATTCAGAGCGATTAGAAGGAAAGAAATGAACATGAAGCACCTGCATTATACAGATCAGCTCCTTTTCAATGACCTGCTGATGGTGACTTTATAGAGGAAGAAAATGAGGTCCAAAGAAATTAAGTAACTTGCCTATTCAGAGGGCTCAAGTCCAAATATTGACGACAAAATACTGTTTTCCCTGTAACATGTTCTTTCAAACCCCTTACAACTCCTTTAAAGATCTGCTTAATTTTATCCCTTTGTGAGTGAAACATCACCCTACTGTGATATTTCTACCAAGTAGAGCAGTATCTGCAACCTTTTCTGTGTCACAACACCCACAGGGAATTATAATACATTCCTGGCACTCTAGGGTAAATAGCACAGTCCCTCCAAGGGAAGAGGACAGGACTGTGGCACATGCTGAGCCCACAGGGCTGAGAGACCAATACAGAATATTTTATCTGTTGACTATTTCCCTCCCACTGCCAGTTTCCACCCTTAAAAACAATAATAAAAACAAAAATGCAACATCACTGGAAGAAAAACAAGTTCCAACCATTTGAACAGGAGAAGGTGACACAGGGGAAACCAAGGGATCTGGATGGGACAGCTGAAACATCTCAGGTTTAAACTTGGCATTCGCTATCTTCACACATTCCTCAAGCGTTGTGATGAATGTATTGCATGTGGCACTAAGCAGAGAAGAGGCTTCATTCATGTTCTGAAAAATTACATACAGAGTTGAACAGATTCACACACAGCTATATGGAATCATGCACATTACAGTCAAGTAACTCAACATTACCTACAACAGACACCTTACTAGGTTATGTGCAAATCTATTTAAAATACACTACCTTAGAAAATTAAAGCAATACATGAATAAGAAATGTCTATCAGGCAAACAGTGTATGAAATAAGATTCCATGAAAAAATAAATTTTGCATTTAAACCAAATATCATATCGAAAAACTGTATCCAAAAATTTATCTCAGATAAACCTAACCTAAACAGCAATTTCGTAAGTATCAAAATTCTGAAGGCAGTCACAGCAGTGAACACCCTGAGAGTTACTAAGTGCCAGGCACAATTCATATCTACTCCAAACCCATTCTCCCACCTCTTCCTTGGTAGAAAAAAACTCCAATATTTCTTTTTATGACAGCAATATGCCCTGACCCTAGGGCATGAATACAGACTGGTCAAAGCCAGTCATGGCTATTCCACGATTCTGAGTCAAATATTGAGATTTCTTAGCTTCTCTTGACCCAGACAAAAAAAGAAGAGAAGCCTGCTGAGGAGTTTCTGGGACTTTTGTTCCCAGATAAATGCCCAGGACAGCAAATTGAGAAAGTCTCTTTCTACCCTGGTAACCCCACTGCCTCCTGCCTCTATATGACCTTGGCAGTCACCCCAAAGCCTTGTGCATAAGGAGGAAAATCCAATACACCAAGAATGGCAGAGTGGAAGGCTGGAATAAGCCTGGGTCAGATACCGTCACTGAGCTGCTGGAGCAAATGTGAAGACACTCACCTCCAGAGAGCTTGTGGTGAAACAGTAAGTGCCCTTAGGGTCTAATGTACCTACAACTAAACATGACCTCACCTAAGACTGTTCCCCACCAGAGAGCCTAAGTGTCCATCAACAGATGAATGGATCAAGATGTGGTTTATCTATACCATGGAATACTACATGGCAATGAGAAACAATGAAATCTGGCCATGTGTAGCAACATGGATGGACCTTGAGGGTGTTATGCTGAGCGAAATAAGTCAGGCAGAGAAGGACAAATATCATATGTTTGCACGTATAGGAGGATTAGAAGGAACTTGACGGAGGAACAAGGGGGAGAAGGGCGGAAATGGTGGGGGAAAGGAAGAGAGGCAAACCATGAGAGACTCTTGAATGCTGACAAAAACTGAGGACTGATGGATGTGGGGGGGAGGGGGGGCTGGGCATGGAGGAGGACACTTGTGGGGATGAGCACTGAGTGTTATGTGGAAACTAATTTGACAATAAACTATTTGTAAAAAAAAAAAAAAAAAAAAAAAAGACTGTTCCCCACCAGGAGAAGGCCACAGAAGTAAGAAACTTTCTTATCCCATTTCTCCTAAGTTAGGTAAATGGGGACTGGGAACCATGCTGGCCTTTCACCCAGAGAACAGCAGGGCCCGCAGGTCCTCCTTTATCAGAAAGTGAACCTATTTCATTGCCAGGTCCCACAAATCTGAAATCTGATTCCTGCATTACTGTCCTGAAGATGACTTTTTAAAAAAAGTTATTTGATAAAGCTAAATTATCAACTCTGAGTCATGGAGACTGGGACCTTATTACCAAAAGAAAGAGAACAGTTGCGCAATGATTTATAGAGCTAGCCTGGAGAACAAAGCCTGGAATGCTTCCTCCCCACCCCAACCTCTATAAATTATCAGATTAGCTGATTCCCATGATCAAATAAGACTTGACTGCCTGGAGCAGTGTGCTGCTTCCTGCTTTACTCTGGGTGCACAGATACAATCTAGAAGATCCTACAGATTTCCAAGGTCTGTAGTAGGGCTAGCCCAGAAGAGCTAAAAACAGCTCATTTTGAAAATGCTTCTCTGCCACCGTATGGGAAGAATCTCACTCATCAGTGTATCACAAAGCATAAGCAAACATGACGGGATCATCTCTGTATACCTCTACGCTGGGAGATGAATGATTCTCATCATGGTGAACAAATTCTTGGATAGTATGAACTTGCTGCATTAGGAGGTCACAGTAGAGGCGAAGTTCAGACATTTTGGTTTTCAGAGATTCACTGGTCTCACTTATCTCTGAAAGGAATATATATAAACATTCAGTCAGGTTCTTTTCAGGTTCTTTGAGCAATAAAACAAAATGGAATCATTTAAAAGCAATGCAATAGATAATACCTATATAAATAGATATAAATACCAATAGCTTAAGAGGCATGAGCCCTTGGAAACAGATACAAGGATACTGAGGAAATATCTTCTCTTCAATAATTGGGGGAAAAAAGTGGAAGTCCTACGTCTGACATGAAGTTTAGGTAGATTAATTTTCGGATGCAAGGTGAGGACCACTGGATGTTTTATACAGGACATTTCCATTCCATTATTCGTTCTTCATTTGAAAAGTGCTTATATTTCTTCTTTTGTAAATTGTCATTTCTGTCCTTTACATATTTTTCCAGTTTTGATGTTCAGTTTTTCTCTTAATAATGTATAAATTAATAATCTATAAAAGTTCTTACACATTAAAGATAGCAATCTTTCCCCTGTCCTATATACTGCAAGTGTGTTTCCAGATCTATCTACTCTCTTTCAGCATTCTTTATTGCACATTTTAATGTAGAGAAGCTTTTAATTTTTATGTAGTTAAAACTATTGCACATAAACATCTGCTTTCTTCTGTTCCTTTTATAACTTCATTTTCTTATTATATTGTTTTCAGAACTGTCTTAAGAGCTTCCTTTCTTTTCTTTAATATGTCCAGATACACTAAACATCCAGCCATCATCTTAGCCATTAAATTACTTCTAAACTAGAAATATAAACAGCAGAAGAAGCAGGGGAAAATACACATAGCAGATCCTGGCATTTTCCCACATTCCCTGAGTCAGTGGCACTGTTTTGGGATACTAGCCACAAAGCCACTCTGGCCACAGTGGCCAAATGAGCTCTATCTGCTTATTTGACCTAACCTAAGTTAGGTTCTACTCAAGTTTAAGTCCATCCCTCCTTTTTTTTCAATTATAGTGCAAAATGTGTAATGAAATTTACTGTTTTAACCATTTTTAAGTGACCTTACTGTCACTTAATGTTTGGTGACATTAAGTACATTCACATTGTCCTACAACCATCACCACCATCCGTCTCCAGAACTCTTGTCATCTTCCCCAATTGAAACTCTACCCCCATTCAACAATAACACCCCATCTCCCCCAGGCCCTAGCCCCTGTCAACCATTATTCTACTTTCTGTCTCTGTGAATCTGACTATTCTAGGTATCCTCGTAAGTACAACTATACAGTATTTGTCCTTTTGTGACTGGCTTATTTCACTTATCTTTTAAGATTCACCCATGTTGTAGCATGTGTCTGAATTTCCTTCCTTTTAAAGCACAAATAATATTCCATTGTATGTGTAATACTACACTTTGTTTACCTATTTCTTTGTCCATTTGGGTTGTTTCCACCTCCTGGCTATTATGAATTTCCATTCCTTCTTATCCTATCCATAGCCATACTCTATCCATGATGTTCTTTCATATATTTTTTAATGATTATAAATTCAGTTCTGGACTTTCATTTTTCAATACCCATAATTCAGTTGTTGTCACTAATCTAAATAGCTTCTATCACTTTTTAATTGTAAAAGTAATATACACTCAATGAAAATTTTCAGGAAATGGAAAAAAATATATAGAAAAGAAAAATCAAACAACTGCAAACTCACTACCAAGATACAAACACTGTTATTATTTTCACATTATACCTGCACAAGGTTGAACTAATACCATAAATTATTTACTTTGCTTTTGATTTCTATTTAATTAATCCTTTGGAGTTGGCAATATTTAAACACAGTAAAGTCAAAGGTACCAAAGTATATACAGAGTGAAAAATGAGTCTCCTTCTCACAAACTACCTTCCCAAAAGTAACAAATTGACTGATTTTATATATCTTTCCTGAGCTAGCCAATGAATGAATATGTAATTTTGAATCCTGCTTTTCTGCAATTATCATTTAACACTGGGCATTTTCTCACATTATTAAATTTCCTTGTAAACAGTTTACTGATTACATATCAGCTTATACCAGCCTATAGTTTACTGAACCATTCCCCTAGAAATAAACCTTTGCATGGTTTACAAGTTTTTTTGTTTTTTGTTTTTTGTTTTTTGTTTTTTTCACTATGATGAATGTCATGCATGAAAATCTTCATCTACATTTCTGGTATTTCTTTAGGATAGATTCTTAGGTGGACAGGACAATTTACATACATGTTTAAGAAAATATTATCACCACCAAAGAAAAATTTATAGTTACCTTTTTCTTTTTTAGTCCTAGTATCAGTCAAACAAGCTTTGGAGCTCCCCAGAGCAACCAGCCACCTCTGTCTTTCAGCTGCATTCACCGCCTTCATGTAGAAATGCTGCTCTCCTGGAATGATTAATTCCATTCTTGTATTGTCTGCTGAATGGACTATGATGATAAACACAGGAGAAATACAGTCATGAACTTAAGTAATTTGGGGAGAATCGAACAATCACTCTTACCCACTATTAGATGTTTCAGACACCTACAACAAGAAACTAAGATTCAAGATGCAGGCATTGCCTTTCCCTAAGGGCTATCTAGTAGCACCCTCAAAACCACATTCTCACATCTACTCATGCTGGCAGAGGTGCCAAAGTGGTGGCGGCAAGAGGAAGAGGAAACAGCAATGAAAACTAACAACTCCCTCTCTTGGGGCTGCCCATCCTACTTTAAATACACATGCACTGTCACACTTACCACACATTTTTTACTTAATTCTCTGAAAACAGACTCTATGTTTTAGTATTCCCCAAGCCTAGGATGGTGCCTAGCATACAGAAGCAGCACACTAAATGGTACCTATGGCTGCCTTCCATTAGAACAGCAGCCCTCAACTAAGGGGCACCTCATAATCACCTAGGAAGTATGAGTATTTTGGAGACCTTCTCCTCTTTCCCACCACCGGCCTCCTCCTCTCTGAAACCACCCTCAACCTTGATGCTCTGACAAAAATGAACTAATCAAGAATGACACTGGGCCAGGGGCGCCTGGGTGGCTTAGTCGGTTAAGCGTCCGACTTTCGCTTAGGTCATGATCTCGCGGTTCGTGGGTTCGAGCCCCGCGTCGGGCCCTGTGCTGACTGCCAGCTCGGAGCCTGGAGCCTGTTTCAGTCTGTGACTCCCTCTCTCTCTGACCCTCCCCTGCTCACGCTGTCGCTCTCTCCTAGAAATAAAAAAAAAATTAAAAAAATTTAAAAAAAAAAAAAAAAAAAGAATGATACTGGGCCAATCCTCCATCTTTGATGTAAGAATAAATTTGTGTTACACTGTCTTTAGTCAAGAAGTACTTACTCAGCTCAGAGGAATGCAAGTAGGGCGGGAAGACACAAGGGGAGAAAGAAAGAAGTCTTTGCTCTAACAGAGCTGACAATTTAACCAAGGAAACAAACTGACACAACAAAAATAATCAAAACACCCAAATGATGAACTCTTTGGTACAGTGACTTAATGTGTAAATAAGATGAGAGAAAGGTAAGAAGAGGTGGGAAATAAGGATTTGACAATAGTAGGATTTAGTTAAAAGAAAAACTTCATTAAACAAGGCCTAAATGAGGAAATAAACATAATATGTACTGAGGATATCAGGAGACAAGCCTAAATAAAGCCTTGTGTTGTATTACATGGTAATGATATTCATGAGTGGACAAGCTGAGTTGAGCCAAATTATCAGGGGCCCTGAAAGTCTGGCAGAGGTCCTAATTTATATGATTACTTACTGAAAATATTGATCAGATGTACTATCGCAAATAAGTGCCACAAAAGCTTTGCTAGCTTATTATTCTACTTATAAAGGCCATTCTTGGAGGTAGATAGTGAAATACAAACATGTAGCAAACAATGTTGGGTGCAAAGATTTCTAAGCCAGGATAAAGTTACTGAAATCCCAAGGCTCCAAGAGTAACTCATTTTTTTTTTGCTGCTTCTTAATACTAGTGAAAGCACCAATAACTACCTTAAAAGAAAACAAAGCTCTAATTCCCAATGATGCTGCTACACATGAAAAAAGATGACTCTTTTTTAAACATACCAAAATTGATGTATTAATCAAGAGCACCCCCTACAAAGTAGTTACCGAAAACAACAAACTTAAGAACAATGCTCCCAAACCATCAAGTTCTTAAGATAAAATGGACAAGAACTTTATATGCAAAACTGAAAACATTACTGAAATTAAGAACCTAATTAAATATAGGAATACATAGGGGCACCTGGGTGGCTCAGTCAGTTAAGTGGCTGAGTTCAGCTCAGGTCATGATCTTGCCACTCCTGAGTTTGAGCCCCACATCGGGCTCTGTGCTGACAGCTCAGAGTCTGGAGCCTGTTTTGGATTCTGTGTCTCCCTCTCTCTCTGACCCTCCCCTGCTCACAATGTCTCTCTCTCTCTCTCTCTCTCAGAAATAAATAAAAAACATTAAAAAAAAAAGAATCTGTTTACCCAGAAAGCCCCCTAATCCCTGATGTTTCCTATTAGTAATTTTCCATCCACCAATCGCCCCACTCTACTTCTTAGTTACAAATTCCCACTTTTCTTTATCATATTTGGAGTTGAGCCCAATCTCTCTCCCCTACTACAAAACCCCATCGCAGTGGTCCCTATACCTATCATGAGAGACTTGAATAAAATCAACTTATTAGCAAGTGTCAAGAATAATTTTCTCCTTAAGTCTGTTAAAGCTAAATGTACGAGCATCAATGCCTCAGCAATTCCACTCTACTTCCAGATATATACTGAATAGAAATACATACATATATACGTTTAGCAAAAAAAATATAATAAGAATATTTATAGCAGCTTTACTCATTATAATTCCAAATAGAAAAAAAAATACATATCAATACTAGAATGGATAGGCAAGTTGTGGGATATTCGTAATACCAGAAATGCTACAAATCAGTAAGAATGATTGAACTACTACTACACCGAACAACATGGATGAATTTCACAATGTTGAGTGAAAGAAGCCAACACAAAAGAAAATACTGATTTACTCCATCTATAAAACATTCAAAAGTGGGCAATATTTATGTATGGTGATACAAGTCAAATTAATGGTTATTTTTTAAAAGGATTACAGGCTGAGGAAACCTGACAACATCCCAGCATCTGGAATGCTGATAATATTCTAATTCTTAATCTGATTGGTAGTTACACAAGTGTGTGTACTTTGTAAACATTCTTCAAACTGAATATTTAAGATTTGTTCCCTTTTCAGTATTTTATTCTTGAATTCAAACAAACAACAGTAAAAATGCTGCCACAACTTGAAACATTTTAGAAGTGCCTTAGGATTCCACCACTAACAGTCTTTTAAATATCCTCAAGGGTGGCAAATCTTTGAACTTCGTAGTTTGATTTCTGACTCTCACCAAATATCATTTGGAATCAAATCTGGGGAATAAAATGAGATTTAAAAAACCATCAGCTTTTAAAAAAATAAAAACTCATACTTTGAATGTGCTTTTCTTGTGTGATTTATAAACTGGTTCATAAGGCAATTCTAAAATAGGAGTTCTAAAGAGTTATCGGGGATCGTGGTGCAATTAAAAATAAATATATAAAAAATGAGCCCCTGGAAAGCCAACACTGATATATATTTCAGTACATTTGTCTAAAATAAGCAACAAAATTATGCCCCACATATTTCAGGGACGATGCAATAACAATACACTAGACTGAAGTGTTTCTGTATCTTAGATAGCCATGACTTCATTCCATTAGAACAGTACTAATTCTCAACTAAACGGGCATGTTACAATCACTTGGCAGATATGTGTATTTTGGAGGAAGCTCCCTGGATGACACTGATCTACCCCAGTTATGAATTACTGCTGTGGAAAGAGCCCTAGTGATAGCAAATCTTAAATGTGTGTGAAGAATTAGATGTGCAGCAAGCAAAAATTCTATTTTTTCTCCATGGCTAAATTGTACTAAGAACTACCACAAAACCACACAAAACTAGCAAAAAAACTGGAAAATAAAACATAATGCACAAGCTGTTACCTTGCTTTAATCTAAATAAGAAACTGCACAGAGCAGTAAGATTACTCTCAAGTGTTTAGTAGCTGTGACCAAGAGCTCACCATGTCAAAGGAAGCACCCATCATGAAGGACAAGTATTCAAGCTATAGAGGAGAAATGAAAAAGGCCTAAAGGTGCTTGATATTTGCTCCTCTAGTGCTTTAGTTTTTCCTTCAATTCTCTGAAGAATTCAATACTTTTCATTATCATTTTGTCTGATCTCTCCTACCTACCTCCACCCCACACAACCCAACCACATATACAAATGAATCAATGGTCCATGAAACCTTCCTTCATGAAAATTATAGCATGATCTATTGCTTTAGTTCTTCTCTTTTGGAAGAAAAAGAAAACATATCTATCACCCGGAAGAGCTTCTCTCTGATTGATTCGGCAAAGAACCAGAGTTTTATGACTGTGACTTAAACCAGAGTTTTATGACTGACTTCATGTTTTAGCAAAATCCTGCAAAGCCTGCCAGATCATCTTTAACTTTCTTTTCTTTTCTTAAATAAGCTCCATGCCCAATGTGGGGCTTGAACTCATGATCCTGAGATCAAGAGTCTCATGCTCTACTGACTGAGCAGGCCAGGCCTTCTCCCGCCACCTGCCCCCCGCCCGCTCCCCAACACCTTTAAAGCTCAGCTTCCAATCTTTACAATGAAAATGAAAGAGAACACTTGTGGACCCCATAGGGTAGCATCCACAAGAAATTGTTTTTCTGGTCCAAATCGGAAGACTAACCCTAAGATTCTTAATTTCAACTCAAAGTACATGTACAGGAGAAATAACAACAACAACAACAACAACACAAAAAACTGTGCTTAACAATGCTAAGTGCCACTCTTAATTGCTAAGGAAATAAACGGTATTAGAAGATCCCTACCTGAGAAATGTTTTTGTGCTCTTTTCGGATTGTAGTGAAGAATGCTTTACTTACCTAACTTCAAGTTTCTCTAATTCCCTGTACTCACTTACCTTTAATTTCACAAACTGCCATCTTTATACTTCCTTTACTCCCTTTGCAAACATCATCTTGTGAATCATAGTAGGACAGGATTCCATTATCTAAAACAAACCAACGAGGCTGCCAACCTATAGAGATTATAAATAACAGAAGATTAATAAGAAATTACTTTCATCACAGAAATAAGTATCATTTCAAAATCTGCCATACATGTTTTCTTGGCTCTAAGGTGACATTCTGACAATGAAATTTCTAATGGCCAAGCCTTGCCCAAATTGTTCTTGCATCAATCCCACTTTGTTGGGAAAGATTTCTGGAGAAATCTATAGATCAGCATAAATATAGAGAATAACACCTTTATTCTGGCTTACAACCTTCTCATTAACCCATGAGACTCATGCTCAATAATAACCTATACAGAGTGCAACATGATTGCCCTTTTCTTGAGGGGAACGAGTTGGGTTTTGATGTAATGTTAAAAGACATGGGTTCTAGCCCCCGCTATATTCTAACTCTTTAGTTAGATAAGTTGAAACAAATCTTTTCACTTTAATAAGTATAAAAAGTTCCCGGTCTCAAAAATAAGCGGATTGAACAAGGTGACCTGTCAGGTGCCACTCAGCCCTCTAATTCTGCAATGACTTTCCCCTCCCTGACACGTTGCCTAAGCAAAGTCCCTTGCACAAGTGGGTGCTGAATGCACACTGTGGTGAGAGCCTGCATTCCCCCAATACCTTTCTCCTTGCACTGCTGTTGTACAACTCAGGCAGAAATGCTAGAGACTGCAATCATTCATTTCCTTTGCGTTTATTTGGTGACTAGATTACTCAACTATCACAGCCTTGGCTCTGACCAAAGATGAAGGAGAGGTTGATGGCTTTCCTCAGAGTTCAACTGTCACTCCTACAAGCCAAACTCAATGTTCCCTAAAATCTTATCAACCATGCTACTAATTTACAACAGTTCACTAATTAATAACACAGTGACCATGACCAGGGTGCCTCACTGAAGGTAGTGTGACTGTCCTTGTTCTTCTCTAACTATTAAATCACAATTCAGCCTGATCACATTAAACATAGCCTGCTATCTGCTTAATCAATTCAGTTTTTCAAGGGCCAAATATTGCCAGAAGAGTGGCAGATGGGAGAATCATTCTTACATGCTGATAAGACCCAGGACTATCTCCTCAAAGTCTTTTCCAGTAATACTTTTGAAATGCCAGCACGGAGTCATCATAAAAAGGTTAAATTTCACAACACAGAATGTCATAATACTATTCAGAAAGATGGATACCCAAAATAATTAAAGCAAGTTTCAAATACTTGGAAAATTCTTATTATGAAACCCCTTAATGAGGCCTAGCAAATTAAAAGGTACATGAACTTTTGGTACATGAACTTTATCTTGTTTGTCATTGCATTCCCAGCACCTAGAAAGGTGCCTGGCACATAACAGGTGCTAAAAAAAAAAAAAGCCTTTCTCAAGTGACTAAAAACCAAAAACGTAAAATATTGCCTGTTATCTATGACCATAAAGATATGCAATACATCTGAGAGTATATTGCGTATAGAGCATGCATACAAATGATGAAAACACTATCTTTCTAAACACTAATTCACCTTGGCAAACAAATTATAAGCCGGGTGGTAAAAGTACACTCCACACCACCCCAGGTTCCATGTGCCTATAGACAAATTGTGATTCTGTAAGCCTGTATTACTGCAATTCAGTACCTCTTTAAAACAAATAATGGATGAAATGACTTATTTAGAATGTGTAGCAACTTAGGGGTGCCCAGGGGTGGCTCAGTATGTTAAGCCTCCAACTTCGGCTCAGGTCATGATCTCATGGCATGTGAGTCCCGCATCAGGCTCTGGGCTGACAGCTTGGAGTCTGGAGCCTGGGGCCTGGAGCCTGATTAGGATTGCATCTTCCTTTTTCTGTGTCTCCCCGACTTGTGCTCAGTCTCTCTCTGTCTCTCTCTCTCACTCTCTCTCAAAAATAAATGAACATTAAAAAAAATTTTTTAAGACTTTGTAGCAACTTGAAATGTGACCATGATTAAATATATTAAAATAATTAAAGACTGTTAGTTATCTCTAAACACCTTTTTGAGGAAATAATTAAAACAATCTCTAATTGATTCACACATTTATAGAACAGAGGGCTCTATCTGTGAAAAAGATTCATAGGCATTCTTTAAAAAAAAAAACAAACTCTTTTTATCTCAAACTACCAAATGTTACTGAAATCCTTGTTCTCTACAAAGGATTCTCAAAGAACACTGTCATGAAACTAAAAGGTTCCTTCAAGATCACTCAGTACAAACAGCTGCTCATTCTTCTGACCTAAGAGGAACTAAAGTTAATATTCAGCATGCCACGGAGTCAAATTTAAATTTGAATTCTTCCAAACAAAAGATTTCATGGCAGCAAGCTCCTACAAGACATACTAGCAGTTGAGTTAAAAGCTCTGCAAAGACTGAAAGCTAAAGCACATGTGGCTACAGTGCTCAGTGCCAGAGGAGATTAAAAAAGACGACCACCAAGACCACAGTCTGCTCCAGGAATAAATTAGGACTCCTGTCAGTAGTCACCCATGACTCCAGGCTAGGCAGAAGTGGCTCTTCCCAAGACACTGTGGACACTATGCTGCTGAATGTTTGCCCTGAGACCATCATTTGCATATCAAAGCACAGAAACTACTGTCTTTAAGGTTAATCCCATATCTCAACTCAACAGCACAACCGGTCTCACAACTGCCCAAACGAAATGCTTCAGAAAAAAATATTTACCTCATTTTTTAAACGGTTCCTGCTAAAACGTATCATTTATAGGAACTCTTTGACATTTTAGTGTGAGCACAATAAAACATGAATGCATACAAATGTTAAAGCATTTGCTACTATAAATTGGGCTTTAGCATTCCGATTAATCAAAAAAATAAATAAATAAAAGGAAGGGGCAACCGTAATTCAATCCTTATGCTTTAAAGTACTTATGTGCAGATTTTGCACAAGGTCAGGTGGACACAAGTTGAGTGTACCAAGCAGTTACAAAGGGGTTCAGTACTTTGGGCAGAGTAAGTGGGTAGCAAGTCAAGATTTTCCTATGACCCTGGAACAAGAAATGTTTGTTATTTAGTCTTATTTTATTTTATTTTTAAATGTTTTTATTTATTTCTAGGAGAGAGAGAGAGACAGCGTGAGCAGGGGAGGGTCAGAGAGAGAGGGAGTCACAGACTGAAACAGGCTCCAGGCTCCGAGCTGGCAGTCAGCACAGAGCCCGACGCGGGGCTCGAACCCACGAACCGCGAGATCATGACCCGAGCGAAAGTCGGACGCTTAACCGACTAAGCCACCCAGGCGCCCCTATTTAGTCTTATTTTAAACCCATTTTCTTTCCTCTAATGTGTAATGTGGTGAAATCCTAGAATTCTGAAGATGGAACACCTACAGGATAAACTAATTGCTCATCCTGGCCGTCCCAGACTGAGATCTCCAGACAGTAAGTAACTGTTGGATGACAGAGAGGGACCTACCACTCAAGAATTAAGGCTCTTTTAATAAGCCAGGCTGTTGGTGTCAGGGGAAAAGGCCCTTCCCTGCTGGCCTCTCATTTCTACAGAAACACAAAGCTCTTCAGAGTTTTTCCTTCCAACCCACTTCATGGGTGACTGACTTGCCTTTTCCACTTCTGTGTGTTGCACTTTCTTCCACTATTTCTCACACACTTACCTGAATTTCAAAACATAAAGACAGCTCATTGACAACCAACTCTTACAGAGAATGGTATCTGGGGACAATTTCCCAGAAAAACCATGCTTTCTATATTCAACAACTCCAACAAAAGAACTTTTAAAGTAAAACGTGTGGCTAAGGAAATTAAAAAGAAATACAAAATTAAACTTTGTGTTTCATGTTAAATCTTAAAATTAAATCTTAGTCTTACAGGATCCATTCTATCCCTATACCCCGACAACTCAGTTATTAACAAAATGCCGAATTAAGTGTGAATAAGGATGGAGGTTGCAACACGAGCAGAGTAACTGGGAATTGTTCCGGAAGCTCCAGGAGGAAACGAGTAGTATCACATGGGCAAAGAAGTGGTCAAACGCAGTACCCCCCTCAGGAAGGTGCGCAGTCTCGAACCGGCCCCTGCAGCGGCCAGTTCTAGCAGGGACAGAGCTAGGATTAGCCTCGGAGGCAAAAAGCCGATTCCCTGCGAGGGTCACCGCAGGCCAGGCAGAGGGAGGGGCCCCCGAACCGCCTTTTCTGCAGCCTTCCCACCTAAGCCCGCCCAAGCACCCGGCCTCTCCCGGCCGCCCCCCGGAGCGCCCGAGCCCTCTGACCTGTGAGATAGTTGGTCCACTTGTACAGAACCCCCTCCATGCTTCAGGGCCCGGCGCCGCGCATCCTCCTGGCCCGGCGCCGGCCGCGGTGCTGGGGTAGGCGCGGAGCTTGGGCAGCCCCTCCCGGCCCGCCCGGGCCCTCCCGGGGCAACCCCGCGGGCACCGAGCCGCCCTCAGCCCGCGCGCGCGCGCGCCGCCGGGACGTGGCGGCCCTTAGAGGCCGGGACGGCGGCCGTCGCGCGGAGCTCGAGCGTCGCGAGGCGCGGACTCAGACATCCCCGGGCGAGCCGCGGCGGCGGCAAAATCACAACCGCGACCGGCCTCCCGCTCGCGCTTCCACAACACGGCTGTTCCCTCCCGCGCCCCGGCGCTACCTCCTCCTCGCCCGCCTTCCTTCCCCCCGGGCTCCCCGTTTGTTTTCATTGACCCCGACGTCGCTTTCACTTCCTGGATGAAAGGGGCCGGCTCGTCCCGAGAAACCCCTCCCCGGCGGCGGGGCTGGAGGAGCGGGCGCGGCCTGCCGCCCAGCCGCGGTGCCGGAGGCTGCGCGAGTCGGCCGGCGGGCGCGGCGCACCCCCGGCCTCCCAGCCTGGGCGCCCGACTCCTCCTCATTCTCCCTCAGGCCCTCGGCCGGCGGTCCCGGGGCTCCCCACGCTTCCCCCCCACCCCCCGCCATCCCCGGAGAGGCCTGGACCGACCATGCCCCGGGGCTAAAAGCCTCCCAGCCCCGGCAGGCGGACTCGGACCCGCGGCGCGCGCAGCCCCCGGCCCACCCGAGGACCAGCTGCAGGCGCACAAGGCCCGGGGGAGGCGTAGGCCTCTCAGGCTTTCCTGTAGCTAAGCCTCAGGTCCTTCCGGTGGTGGCGTTTCAAGAAAATAAAAGACTTTGTGTTTCCCTCGTACCCTCCTCACATTCAGGGGGCCCAAGAAATTATCTCCTAGTTAGGCAGTGTGCCGCTGAGTCCTCCAGCCAGGAACCGTGAGGGGCCTCAAGGGGAAGTGTCACCACGCTGACAATTAACCTTAGCAACTACTTCATTTAGAATATAAAACATGGAAGCGAAGTTTGGAATTTATTTTATTCTAGAAATAAGCGCTTTCCCCTAGCTTTTATGATTTTTAAAAATCCTGTTTGGAAACGATCATCTTACGTAATGACAAAAATTCACATTTACTGAAGGCTGCAAGCTTTAAGCGAAGCAGGCTCAGTGCTGCAGTTTTGCTTAGCATCACCAAGATAAGAGTAACACCTCTCTTTCCAGAACCGAATCCAGGCCTGTGCTGAAGCTTTCTGATTTGGGTAAAAAGTCTTCGGATATTCAGTTGGAAATAAGGTGAGTTGTTGAACGGTTGGATGTATAATAAATCGAATATAGTTACATGTTAACGATAGAATCCAAGTGGTGGTTAGAAGGCCGCGGTGATGAGGTAATAAAATTACATTTTTCTGTATGTTTGCAAGTTTTTCATCCTAAATCGTTTGGAGGTGGGATGAAGGCTGGTTTTGTGTCACACTTAGTCAAATTCCTGCTGCATGTTAGCTTTTTGGGATAAAAAGCTCCCAATACTCAAATTACTTGATTTTCTCTGTGTACAGTGGATGGTAAGAAAAGGGACACCATCACGAGTTTCCCCCAACTCCCATGGGCCCTCATATCAAGGGAGGCCCCGAGTGGTGGGAGAAAGAAGCGCAAAACAGCCAGCCCGGCCTAAACCGCTGGAGTTGGGTCCTGGGAAACGCATCTAAAGGGGCGGGCAGCAGCGGCACCTCTCTGTACTCGCGCGACCGGGTGGTGCTCAGATTGTGTGAGGCTTATCCTAGAATCTCTTAATGCATGACACCACCCCGAGAAGGTGCTTTCAAGGACGCCCCAGAAGCAGAATGGCTTCCCCGATCCCCGCTAGGTCCCTAGGAGTCTAAAGAGAAACCTTTTACTCCCCCAAATGACAGCCGTATTCTCTTAACTGCTCCCACTCCTAGGCTGTTTATTTCTTTTGCCGGTTTCATTTTAGGAAATGCGAGCATTACTACAGAACTCTGAGGAAACCGGCTACAAAATTTGCATATTTAACGAGAAGCGGTGCAAGTGTTCAGTACTGTCAGACCGATGACGGCCATCAAAAGCGCCGGGTACCCGAGGGACAGGACCCAGCCGGACAGAAAAAAACGCTGCTGCCGAGCGCGCTGGCCGGACGGGGCGGGGCCATGGGCCGCCCGCCCCCGGCCCTTTGTGACGTAGAACAATGCCTGCCACGAGTCGGAACTGGGCTGCCTTGGCTGCCGCTGGGCGCGAGTGACACGCGCGAAGGAACGTTAGTGGTCATCTGGGGCCAACTTCAGGAATCATGCAGTTTTTATTCAGGTTAATCGTTTTCTTTTATGTATGGGGCATTTTTGCTGCTCAGGGAAAAAAGGAAGAGGAGAGCACAGAGGACGTGAAAATAGAAGTTTTACATCGTCCAGAAAACTGTTCCAAGACCAGCAAGAAGGGAGACCTGTTAAATGCCCATTACGACGGCTACCTGGCTAAAGACGGTTCGAAATTCTACTGCAGGTAGGAAATGCTGTGAACTGCTCCCGCGTCCAGTTGATACAGGAAATCTGGGCTCCTACCAACCAGAAGCCTAAGTGATTTGTTGATTGGTTGGCTTCTGTTATTTAACTGTAAGGTTCGAGCCTTTTATTCGGGGGGGGGGGGGGGGGGGGGGGGGGGGGGGGGGGGGCGGGGCAGACGATTCCTACTGATAGTATTAGTTCTCTATTGAACTATTACTTTTTAAATTGAAAAGTTAGCCCAAGAGATTATAGGAAATACTCTACACACACACACACCATCACCACCACCCTTGGGATATATAGAAGTCAGTTATGAAGCTGTCTGTATGAGCTGATGTTCACATTTTTTTTTTAACCGTATGTTGGAGTCTCTTTACAGAGGATTAGGTAGAGAAATTTAAATGATTTTATCTGGCCTTCAGAGGCACCATACTTACTGGCTGAGTGCCAGTTTCCAACTGTATTAAAAAACTGTGACAACAGTAACTTTCCCTGGTGTCTTCTGGGCCCTGTGTTCTCCCATCTCCCTCCTCATCCCACCACTGGCTGCTCTGATTCGATCGATCATTTATTACTCAGAGAGAGAATGACTTTTCTTCATCTGTGCTATTACCCTATGAAGATAGGGTTGGGGAAAGTTAGTTCTTAACACTTAGAAGAAAACAGATAAATTTAATAAGTAAAGATACAAATTCTAATTTTTGTTCAAGTGACTTTTTGAGACTATACCTGCACTGTTGTTTTTTAGAACAAACTTAGAAAGTTCAAATGAGCTACTTGGACAAGCCATGCAGCTCGTTAGTGGCCAGAGACCCATTAAAAAGGTAACTGTTGAATAGTTTTTGCAAAGATGGCAATAAAAAAGATGAGATGATTCCTAATAACTAGCTTCGGTTAAATCTTACTTCTTTCTGGCTATTATGGAAGAAGTTTGAGCCAAACACCCCACCAGGGGGTTCGAAATGAGTGCTAGTAGGGGAAAAGAGCGAGGACTCCAATTTTAAATTATAACTAAACGTCCGGATATATTTTAAAACTTGATTTCATTGTTCTTAAAATCAGTTTACCTAAGTGTGTGTGTGTTTGTTTTTTTACTATAGCCGCACACAAAATGAAGGCCACCCCAAATGGTTTGTTCTTGGTGTTGGGCAAGTCATAAAAGGCCTAGACATTGCGATGATGGATATGTGCCCCGGAGAGAAGCGAAAAGTGATTATACCCCCTTCATTTGCATATGGAAAGGAAGGTTATGGTAAGGTGTTTTAATATTTATATCTCTAAGTTATATTTAAAAATAAAGCATAGCTAAAAAAATAAAAAACAAATCGTAGCTTTGGGTATATATCCAAACTAATTGAAAGCCGGGTCTAGAAGAGATATTTGTATACTCACGTTCATAGCAGCACCATTCACAATAGCCAAAAAGTGGAAATAACCTGTATCCATTGACAGATGAGTGGATAAACAACAATGGAATATTATTCAGCCTTAAAAAGGAAGGAAATTCTGCTACATGCTATAAGATGGATGAACCTTAAGTACACTATACTAAATTAATCACAAAAAACAAATACTGTATGATTACACTTGTATAAGGTACGTGAAATAGCCAAATTTAAAGAAGGGGCTGAGAAAAGGGTGGAATAGGGAGTCATTATTTAATGGATGTAGAGTTTCAGCTTTGCAAGATGAAATATATCTGGAGATTGGTTGCATAGCAATGTGAATGTATTTAACTGTACTGAGCTTAAAATGGTTACAGTCATAAATTTTATGTTACGTGTATTTCCCACAATTAAAAACTTTTGAATCACTGAAACAAAACAAACAAACATCACAGAGGAAATAATTACAGAACTCTCAGGTCCAATAAACTTTAGCTGTATCTAATCCAGTCCAGCTTGGTGCCCACTTTTTACGTATAAAAAAAAAAATAAAGACATTTTGGAAGACAGATCTCTGGCCAGAGTTCTTTCCCTCACATGGTGGCAGTTCTCATAATGATCTTGTATATTCTATAAGCTTTACCTTAGTCATTTTATTTTAGTATGTGTTATTTTATTATTACATAAATGTCTACACTATATACCTTCGGTAAACAGTACCAAAATCAAATTCATAAAACTCAGGAAACTGAAACATATGGTTTTAGAGTAAAAGGACAGCACTAGAACATAGTAAAAAGAACATCTGAATATAACAACTGTCAGTCACTATTACTCAAATTCAGGAGAAGGCTTGAAATGTAGAAGAAATGAACTGCTTTTTTCAATATCTTACTAATTGTTAAAATCCGACACATATGAGAACCTGGGTAAAGCTGGTCAATGGCGAAAATGTTTGCAACTAGTATGAAGACTCTTACTACTAATAATAAATACTCTTAATAATAAAAATGACCTAGCCCTAGAAATGGGTAAGTTCATAAACAAACAGCCTACTAACAACAACAACAAAAATACAAATAACCTGCAAATCTATGAGAGTACTTAGTTTCATTAATAATTCAAGGAAAATTTAAACAAAATGAGACACCATTTTCACTCCTCAGATTATCAACGGCATAAAAGTTGGCACAGATATGGAAAAACCAGCAGTCTCATGCATTATTGCTGGGAATGAATATAAATCACTTGACCCTTATAGCAATTTCTATCAAATTTAAAAGCACATATCCTCTGACTCAATAGTTCCATTTATAGAAATGTACACAAAGGTATATATAAAAAACCATTCATTACAGACTTTTGTTTGGTAGCAAAAGACTGGAAATGACCTGAGTATCCATCAATAGGGAATCAGTTAAATTATGGAGTATCTGTACAATGGGCTATGATGCAGCCAGTAAA